GGCCGAGCGCCTTGCGCGTCACAGGTTCGAGCCTCCGTGGGTGCAGGTGGTCTCTAGTATCCCTAGTCCTCACGCGACTTGTGGTGGAACATGTGATAAGGTAACATCAATAAGGGAGACGAGCAGACTGCGAGGTCGCCTGAGTATACGCAGACTCGAACCGCCGAGCCTTGAATCACAGACGCGCAAGCCACTAGGCCACTGGCCAGAAGTAATGTCGATGGGAGTTATGATTGATTAAGAGCCGACGCACACCCCCAACACAGGTCACTGGGGTAAAATATCGGGAAACAGGGATGTTGGACGTATGTAGGGCGGTGGAAAAACGATAGAAGCTGTATGATAGAAGAACAATTTGAGGTTGCGCTGTCAGTGAGCATATCCGCCCCGTCTCTACCCGCAACGATTAGTAGCCTTCTGGAGGCAGTACTCGAAGTGATGACAGTGGAGGAGTGGACAACCGATGTACAACCCGGGAAATAGGTTCAAAGCACACATTATTCATCCAAATGCAGCAGAATTGAAGAGGCAGCACTGGGTTGCTAAATGTTTACAAAATGGGCAAACTACTACTCAGTTTAAAAGGCAAATAAGCGGAAAACCAGTGAAGCGTCGAATATATATATATATATATATATATATATATATATATAGCGCGGATGAGTTGCAGCACATGACTAGTGCTCTGGCTTCGACAGCGGTCAAATTCGGCCTCACCATCAACACAAGCAAAACTGTCTGTCTCTTTCAGCCTTCACTGGAGGTGCAATCTTCAATATTGCCACGAATCAGCACTGGTGCCGAAGTATTGGAAACCACCTCCCGCTTCTGCTACCTTGCGAGAGTGATGTCGACTGATCAGCAGCTACACAGTGAGCTGCGTATCCGAGTGTCGAAGGCAGCGGCGGCATTCGGGAAGCTAGAGTACCGAGTGTGGAACAACCATCAGTTTACTGTTGGCACGAAGCTGATGGTGTACAAATCCATGGTGCTGTCCGTTCTTCTATACGCCAGTGAAACGTGGACGATATGTACTGGCGAGATGTGCGATATCTAGAGCGGTTCCATTAGCAGTGTTTGCGACGAAATTTGCGCATCACTTGGGGCGACAGAGTTGCTGACAAGGAAGTGTTGCGACAAAGTGTGATGTATGCAGTGGACTGCATACTTTTACTGACACCTGAGGTGGCTCAGTCATGTGAGCCGTATGGATTCAACGCGGATATCGTAACAAGTATTATATGATCAGCTAAGTATTGGGAAGCGGCAAGTGGGATAACCAAAGTTACGTTACTAGGACATGGTCAAAATGAGCCTCTCAAGTTCTAATCTTGATTGTAGGTCATGGGAATCGATGGCGGTTGATCGGCGTGCATGGCGCGATCTAATCACGAAGGCAGTTGCCGAAGTGCGGGAGAAAGATCTCATGCATGCAGAGAAGAAGCGACAAGTGCGGAAGTGACAACCAACGATGGGTTGTACTCCATCGGCATCGAGCGCATGGTGCTGTAGCACATGCAGTCGCGAGTGCCTGAGTCAGGCAGGCCTAGTGAGTCATGAGCGAGGCCACTCGGGACCACTACCGAAGCGACGACAAGTCCTGCAGAGAAGGTAGGCAGAACCGGCGCAGCGTTTGTAGGTACGCTGCATTCGATTTACTAACCGCGTGCTTGCATGCTAAGTCTATTTATTTCGGGTGGTGGGTTTGTAATTTTGTCCTAATGCTTTTCTTTCCCATATAAATGTCTACCTATACTCTCTTCTATAAACTTGCACAGGTCGCTTAAGCCAATTGTAGTTAATTTCGATAACATTGTTGTGTTTGTGACATTTCCGTAAAATATACTTTCTGACCTCGTGAACTTATCTCGGATTCGTTTGTAAACAACTTATTTCATATGCTCATTAATTTAAGATTTATGTCACCGTTTCCTTATGCATTACTCGATTTATTTTCTTGGTTATCTTTCACTCAAGTGATTGGCTGTTGCTTGATATCCCTGGTGTGGCTGCGCTTGATGTGCATGTTGACAAGGTGCCTACCTGTCTATTACCCACTACTTCGTCCATACTGGCTCTAGGAGACAGCTGGTCGTTGCTGGAGCGGACGGGGTGCACGGTCCTTGTGGCCGTGTTAGGCTCGAAGAGTGGTTCCATGCACTCAGTGTGGAGCGGACTACCGTCCAGCCACTGCCTTGTGTGCTCTTGATTCCCCAAATACAGCGTGCTTGTGTTTGTCTATGAAGGAGTGTGGGCCGGCTCCATTGATGAAACGTGGCTCCCATCCACATGTCTCCCGGTCTTATTCCTTCGGGTTTACACTGGATATGGGGTGTGTGGATGGAGCTGTGGGTGGTGCAGCGTAAGCCACCCATGGTCCCGCTGTAGGCGCAGGCGTTCTGTGGCTGGCCACAGTGACAGGCAAATCCGAAACCGGATGCCGCCAAGCATATATATATATATATATATATATATATATATATATATATATATATATATATATATATATATATATATAGTGCCATCGAAAGCATGGCGGAATAGGAAAACAGGGTTAGAGTAAATGAAGAAAGAAAACAAACAAATTCCTTGTCGATTTTCCACTCGCAGTTTTGAGTTTTTGTAATGTTTTTTATTGGGGGAGGGAAGGGAATGATCCATCCATGGTTCGTCAGTGGACGAGATACTACCCGGTTGCCCAGGTCGAAGTAGAGGGTTGTCTTAGGAGGCCCCACTCCGAGCCGTTGATCCAGGATCTAACCTACAAGGCAGCAGGGCGATATGAGGGTATCGCAACCAGTTGGGAGCCGGTGACCAAACAAGTGGTTCATACGCCTTTAGCACCGCATAGGACCAGGGGCCCAACACACCCTTGAATTACAATGCCACTCAGAGAGGCAAGGGGCAGCGAGTTTATTTAGTGGCGAGTCACATCCGCCACGTCACAGTGTTGTTAAACGGACATATGTGACTTTTTATTGGGTGAACGCTTGCCAGGCGAAAACCCACCACGTCCTGGAACACTGCCGCCGAACCATTTGCTGGAACGGGATAATCCCGAACCACCCAGCTGGCACCACAAAGAGGTTGTTCGGCAAGTAGTTGCCAGCACCTGACGATGGAACGCATTTAGGCGAACAAAGCATCGAACGATAAGGTGGTAAAGACGCAAAAGGTCTCCATGAAAAAGATTCAAAATAGCTTGACTCGATAGGTACTGCATAGACGGCGTACGTAGCACTGTTTAAGTAGCACCGTAATTTATAATTCAGTATAGTAATGCACTGCAGTACTAAAAAAGATTCAAACAACATAACGTCACCCTAAATTGTGATCAGCGCACGAATGAATGGCGGATGACGTTGACTCTTTCAGACAATGAACGAGTATTAGCAAGTAGGTGTAATGGTACCCATACAGAGGCCATGGTAGACAAACCAATTCAAAATGTTGCATTTTCAGAATTGAACAACTCTGTGGTTCCGAGTTGGCAGTGAAAAGAAAGTAGTTAAGCCTAACTCTACTAAGCAACTCTAAATCAAGCACTGAAGTACGACGGATTACGCTCGCATAACTCACAGTGCGAAAATACGTTGGGGAAAATCGAAAGAGAAAAGAAGGCGTGTACAGACAACAATTCAGAGTGAAAAAGGCATAGCCGTTGGGGTAAAAATCACTTAAAAGCTATGGATAAAATGAAAGGGCACCACAGCATTTACTAATACACGCCACATCGATTAGGAATGACATAAGATCTAATTTGCTATCTAGCCATGTCATCGGTTGATTACCTTGAGGTGTTAGTTAAAGATGTGCAGCACTGACGGGAAGAGAATAGCCTAGAAGTAATTGACCTGACCAGTGAGAGCGACTAGCTCCCAGAGGAAAACCAAGTGTGGCACCAAAGGGTCCATTTCCCCCATCCACTGGTTTGTATGCCTGAGCGTTGCGCAGCACGCATATGCACCGGGTAGAAATGATGATGCACAGGTATTGATGGTCAAGAGCTACCAGTCGCTTAATACTTTCGGAACTCGGTGACTATAATAAGGACGAACAAAACCGGCTTGTAAAGGTAGTCGTAGCTATGGGGCACAGCCTCGTCCTCTGCATGTTCAGAACAGACATGACAGTGGAGAATGAGTCGCGCTATATTGAAGTTAGAAAGCAGTCACGGCGGGCCACCGCCGTCACCTATGGCTTGAGTCGCTAACTCGGGAGAGCAGGGTCATAGGTTCGGAGTAAGCAGGATCCGGCGGATGCGCAACATTGATGAGTCCCAATGGGATGAAACGGCCGTCTAGCGCTTTTGTGGATGTGTGGTGGCTGGCTGGCTGAGCGCAACTGCAACGAACCTCCTCGGACAACAAAATATGCCCACCTACCACTCTCAAACGGGTAGAACTGTGACGCAGTACACCTTACATATGAGCAATAATGCAAGGACACGCCGCCTCGGTAACTGAGATGTCAAAATATCACACAGTCGACATCAACCCGGGAACTACCCTCACGGCGATATAGCAATCAGTAGTGATACAAAAATGAAAAGAGGCGAACGGGCCCGTCATTTTACAGGTCAAATGGTGCCTTCCCAGGCAAGTGGAGAACTATCTGATTTGGAAGCTGTGGCGATGAATTGTCGATCAATTGAAAACCAAAGTCTAGCAAGTAATGTGACTTAGAGGGACCGCGAGGAACTACATCTACAAAAACATACTAATTGTACCATAATGGGGAAAAACAATCCTTAGTTGTTCGGTAGTTCGTAATGTTCTATGGAATTATTGTAGGATTACTAACCCGGAGCAAGAAATCTCCTACCTGTCGTAACATCAGGTCACAAACGAGAGTACAGTGATGTGACAGTGCGCGAAAAATGCGGACATATTGAATCGAGGTCTGTTGCGATTTCTACTAAAAGCAGAGTAATGAGGTGACTGCGTAAAACAGTAAAAACAAGTTGTAAGTTGCCTACGACATGAGAACATAGTGCTTACCAAGTAAAGCGATCTCTAAGTCGACTTTCCAGGTATCATCCATAGTACGTTTGGGATTAACCACGGATCAACGCTCCACGGAACCGCAGAGTGGCCTGATCGGCGAAGTAGGGAATCAAAATGCAGCAAAGAAAAGAGCAGAAGAGTAACGGTATTACATGTTAAAGAAACATCAAAGGTTCGCAATATGGTATTAGTGTTGCGCAACCATAGTGAACAAGCCTACAAAGGGAAATACTATAAGAACAAGGTAGCAAGCTCACAAAAAGAATAAAGCCCACTAAAATAATTGACACGGTACGATCAGAAGGTAATGAAATATCCAAATATATATCACATCTAACGTTCATTAAGTTATTTGAAAGGAACAACATGAACAAGGAACCCCTATCGGATATGATCGCCTCCCGCCATCTTACTTCAGTAGTCGCTTGTCTTCCAGTTCCGACTCATAGGGAACCGCGGAGCGTCATTTCTGCCATGTCGACAAGTCCATGTCTAACCATGCGGATAACTTCAATTGATCCGCTCCTATTTAGAGCCTTCGATCCTCGCTAAGATTATCAGGCTACAACGTGCACACTTTGTTAAAGATCCGCAAACAGGCGGCTCTTGCCCGAACACTAGACACTCTATAGATCGATATCTGGTGTGTATCGGTAACCCGCCTGCAAGACAAGCTCTGTGCTCATCCTAGGATACACATTCATGTAACATTGGCGTCATTTTCTCACTGCGTCTATCTGGAGATGGTGTGGCTTCAAGTGCCGATGTGGGAAATGCTTTGAACACCCAGACCGAAGCTGCTTGACAGACTGGATCCCAATCAACAACCGGACATGCGCCATCATACTGGCTGGCTCGTTCAAAGATTCGAAGTAACGTGAGGCTCAATGGGTGCCTGTTTACCATTACAGCTTATAACCCCACAACCTGTAGAGCTGATTAAGTGAAAAATGACTTCTGTCGTCAACTGAATAAGATACTTCTTCACAAAACGTAAGGATACTGAAGTGGTGATTGGTGATCTGAACGCGCAGGTCGGAAAAGCTTCCTTTGATGAGCTGCATCTGGGCAGCCAACATGGTGCAAGCTCCCCGTAATGACAACGGTGAGCGGTAGCTACACCTGTATGATGATGCTCGCCTATTTCTTGCGGGCGGTAACTTCCGACACAGCCCACGTCACAAGTTTACGTGGTGTCTTCCAGCTTCGAACAAGCCATAGACGTACACTGATCATATCATGATCAATTACCGCTGGCAAGGCTGAGCACAAAATTGTCGCTAGAGTTGGAACACAAGTGTGGACTGCGACCATGCACTTGTGTGACAATCTCCGGGGTGCTTTTAGCAGAAGCCTACGAGGTTGTGAGCACCGAGACATTTACCAACTAGGGAAGCCGAATATTCTAAAAGCACATCAGAGTACGCTGGTCTTCAAGCTGAGTAAACACGCTGAGCAAACACGAATGACGGTCACTGGCCAAATGTCCACCTGACCTTATCAGCAGAAAGTACGTTTCGTGTGGTAAATCCGATTGACAGCATGGGCGCTACGTCTCGACTCAGTGCCTAGAATGTTTGGGTGTTCGACAATACATTCCGGTAGAGAGTGAACACATCGAGACCCGAAAAAGTATCGACAATATTGTGTGCCACCCTGAAGAGAGATTACGAAGTAGGATGGTATCATCATGCGTTGGAAATAGTAACAGACACTGCTCTTGCTAACCGTCAAAAGTTATTCCGTCTTATGCGGGAAACGAACAGCAGGAGATCTGATATCAGTGAAACCATATGCGAGGGTGGATAGTCTATCCACATTTTGACATAACGTTTAACGTGCTGGACAAAACACTATAAAAAGCAATTTAATCGGTCGAAGCTATTAAATACGCTGACGCCAGTGATCGTCCTATTCCACTGGCTGTTTCACTGAATCAATCCTCTCGCGCACGTTGAACGTGAGATCAGACCGTTGAAGTTGAATAAGGTCACAGGAATATATGAGCTTCTTCCAACTTTAGTTAACGTGTATTATGAGGATGATGATGATGAATAGTTAGAGATGTGAAGCCCCTCAGATATTGTGTCGAATTGCATGAGAGAAGAAAAAATACAACACAGGCACACCAGCTGAGCTATCAGTAGCGGATGGACATTGTTCCGGAGAGCTAGCAGCCGGCTATCAGACCGCAAAAGTTATATTATGCGTAGGAAATGAAATCGTGGTTAGGAGGTTATGTGGAAGGAGGAGGGACAAAGAAACTCACAACATAAACGCTACTGAGGTCGGTTCCTAGTCAAGTCAACAAGTAATCTGCGCGACGGCCGATGCAGGATGAAGTTTATGTTTGAAGAAAATGTCATGGTTGTATGTGGGCTGGGATACTGCCAGGGCGCCCAGACCTAGACAGGAGAACGATTAGGGTCCTCATCCAAAGCCTTTGGCTCAAAAGCCTGTCCGCAAGGCAGCGGGGTAGCAGTGATTTAGTTTTACAGAAATGGACGCCATCCCATTTCAAACCCCCAACCTGGAGGACCAGGAGACTGAGTTTGTCTGACCTCTCACCATTGACCAACCTGGTAGGAGTAGCTCTCAAGATGCTCAGAGGCGTCACCCAGTATAGCTCAATGGGTCAATGAGGTACGCAAACCGTCGCACCACGTTAAGGTCCAGTCTCGTTGCGACGGGTCCAGTCTCGTTGCACGATATCCAGCTGTTTGTGACGGTATGTTGTCTACACAAGGTGTAGGCGCCTTGACCCTGAATGTTTGCTTAGGGCATCAAGGTTTTCAGGTAAGTCCCCCTTCTCTCCCTCTTCTTATTCTTTATTTCATAGGTCCTCATGGTTGTATGGCAGCGAAGCATCAGTTTAAATGGCTGATGTACTGCTGTTGATGATGAAGTCAACAAGTGCATCCAACCAAACGTGCTCACCGCCTTTTGGGGCCCAAAGAGCGGACGCAGAGGCTTTAACCGGGACTACCTTCGAAGAAAAGACGTTCATTCATATTGACAAAGCCATCGCTTGACCTCAACTCATCGTTTGCCATCCATAACCCCGGCGAGCAAAAGCGCACCTCACGGGAGTCAGTGAGTTGGCATGTGTAACACGTGGCCCAGCTATCGGAGCCTGGTGCGTTATATAATGGCGCTGATTGGTTGTTCCACGGCATGCGCCAGCTTGTGGTACAACCAATCCGTGAAGGACGCACCGGCTAAATTCATTGCCATTATGCAGTCTCCCTACTGTGACTTCGAGGCAGGGTAAGTCTACGGGAAACTGTCTCCTGAGTTGCCAACGACAAGCGGGTTCGCCAGGGTTGTCCTATATCTCCTTTCCTCTTCAAGTTTGTGATCGAAATGATCATGAATCACTGTTCTTTCAGAATCTACAGAAGTGGCAGTTTTACCAGGCGACCGACTGATAAACCTAGAGTATACGAATTACATAGCTTTTCTTGGGTTTGACGCAGTGCCTATGCAAACTGTTGGATGGACCGACGCGTAACGATGCACAGTTCCGCGTGTGCTCTGCACCTTCAAAGTGAAAAGTGTTTTGGCAGGACTGGAAAGATAAACTACCGGTTTTAGCTATTACCGATCAGCCACTGGAAGTGGCGGATCGGTTCACGTACCTTGGTAGCTGTCACACCACTGATTAGGTTACTTGGCGTATCAGCAAAACTTGTGTGGTGTTCTAGAGGTTCAACTATCTATGGAAACGGCGGGATATTAGTCTGCCAGTGAAAAGCTGGGTGCATAACGCTGTGATTAGGCCTGTATGAATCAGAAACCTGGCCAGTTCGCAGTGGCCGTATTCGACTACCGATGCTTGCGGACTATTGCTCAGATCTTGTGGGAACACCTGGCGAATAATGTTGAAGTTCGCCAGTTAGGTGTTGGCAAGAAACCTTCCAACGCCCCACTAGTGTTTGTTGATTCTTAGCCGCATACATTGACCGGCTTCCTTGGCGTGGACTATACGACGTAGCTGCACCAAGTTGGGTGAACCCGCGAAGTGGCCAATTCATGACGTGGCTTACAGACGTAAAGAAATTGACTGAGAGAAGTAATCAGGCTGGTGCGTGTCGTCTTCGTGGATAGGGGCCTCGGGATAGTCTACACCAATGGTTGGAGATGGTATCAGACACGACGCAGTCAGTGGTGGTCCTGCATTCGGTTTCTTGCATCTGGTTGTTAATTTCCGTTCCATTCTGATCAATCTATCACGCTTCTTGGTTCCGTTGATTATAACTAATATACATATTCAACCTCGTTTCATGCCGTTGTTATTTGTAATTCTGGAGACGTAGGTTGCAGCAACTGGATCCATCGCACTTCGGTGCTCCGATCATAGCTGTTCGACTGAACTGAACTGCTCTCGGACGGTACCCCAGTCTGGCAACTTTCGCGTTCATCCCGAGCCTTTTAACCGGAGAGAATTTGTCGGCAAGAAAGTGCAAATCTCGTCAAATTAATTTTTCATCTCAGGTTTATTGAATCTGCATGTATAACGTTTATCCCACTGCTACACCAAATTTGGCAACTCCGTTAGTAATTTTTTATTCCAGACTCGCTCACTTATTTCGTATATTACTTTATTTTTCCTTTTATTTAATCGCCGGGTTTTAGTTTGCTGGCTCATTTCCTTTTGCTACAGAGATTAATCGAGTAGATTCCGATGCCCAGGTTAACACCGTCGCTCCCTATTTCGCCTTTTCATGAGAACAGTCAAAACACATGGTTTGCTTACTTGGGGTCATTACTTTCGTTGCGTGGTATTAAATCTGAGAAGACTAAGTTCCCCCACGTAGTTTCAGCGTCCTCCCCACGTGTTGTCGATGATATTCTGGATTTGCCATAGAAACAGAAGACCTACAAATAAGTTTAGACGGCCTATCTACCGGCAACGCCTCAAGAAACGTTTGGGCGAAACCGAGTTTTGTGATCCTAAACCATCAGTCTCCAGGAAAAATGCTGCCTAGCCGAATCCGTGATTTTCAGCGGCACGATTAAGTAACTGTGGCTATGCCGATAGTCAAATGTCATTAACTTCACACTAATGCCGATGCGCTATTGCCACAAC